TCAAGGCAACGTCGACAACGGTAGGCGCGATGCTAATAGTGGCGATGCTGGTGACAATGCTGACAACGACGAAGGCGCGGCCAGCGCGGGCGCCAATTCTGATCGCGCCGACGGCGATGATGGCGCCCTCGCGTCGGCGATGAAGGTTCTGGCAAGAGTTCGGCACGCGCGCGCGGCCGACGCGCGAGTTCGGCCCGCGCGGCATTCTCCGACGCGGGCCGCGCCCCCCCCGTCGCCCAGCACGCGCGCAATGGCGCGCGAATGATGTCGGCACGCGGCGCGAGAGGCCACTTTGGCAGAATTCAATGAATGCGTTGAAAAAAAAAACACTTTTTTCTCAAAGAAAAAGAATCGCAAGAGTGCGTGCGCGCTGTTTTGAAACCTGATGCTGCGAAACCCCGCGCTTGCATGCGGTTTGGACACTCGGTTTTGACGCCGTTGCGATGGCGAGGGTTTCTGGCGGATTTGGTGCGCGCGCGACGACTTGCGCGCGCACACTTTATCTGTTTGTTCCAATGAGTCCTCGCGACGGCACACGCGCGTGGAGATTCGAACGATTTCCACGCGGGCGCGCGATGCCCGCTTGGCTGCACGGCATGAAAACCTTGAATGACCTATCGTTGCCCGAAGACTTCGCAGGAGCGCGCGCGCAAATTGCGTTGTCTTTTCTGTTGGGAGCCCGCGCTGCGAAACAATATGTGTTTGTGCATGTTGTTTGGACACTCGGTTTAAAACTCGTCGCGAACCCGCAGGTTGTCGATGGATTTCGGCACGCGCGCGCGACGACGCGCGCGCGTGCACGTCGTTTCATGTCTGCGCAAAAACGTTCTTGACAACTAATTATTGCTTGATCGACGAATGCTCGCGCATATATTCTGTCGCAGAGGGCGACAAGGGGGGCCGATGCTGGCCTGGCTGAGACGGCATGAGTACGTGCTTGGGATGGGCGATGGGGCAGAGTCAAACTTAACTTACGATGCGAAGAAGGGCGCCGATAAGTCCGCAAGGGGGGTACAATTTGCTCTCTTTTTAGAAACAAGCACTTGTGCAGTGCAGTGTGCGTTGCGCGACGTGCGCGGCGCAATATATGTTGTGACATCTACGCGGCGCAACTATGCGGACCGTAATGTGTTCTGCAATTTGTCAATGTCCATATGAGTTGTGCAACGTAGGCTGCGCAATCGACGTTGTGCAACCTACGTGGTGCAACGCGCGCGATGCCGCGTGGGCGGCGCAATAATTGTCGCGCAACCTACGTGGGGGCATCCCACCGGCCCGCCCGCATCTTCGTTTGCAAAGGCGATGCGGCGGCGATTGCGACGATTGTTCGGCGCTGGCTGGCGCGTCGTCGCCGCCGCGCATGCGCGCGTGCTCGCGCGCGAAGCGGTCCGCTTGCTCGGCGCGACCGACGCGGCCGCGGCGGCGCTGACAGCTGGGCGCTTTCCAGCGGGCGCTCCAGTGCGAGTCGGCAACTCGGGCGGGCGCGGCACCGCGACAGCGCCGACGCTGGTAGACGCGACGATGGCAGTAGCGACGCAGGTGACAATAGGGGCAGAGACGACGGCGAGGCCAGCGACGGCGCCGATGCCGATCACGCCGGCGACGGCGACGGGGCCATCGCGTCAGCGAGAGCGCGATGAAGGTCTTGGAGGCTCCACGCGCGCGCACGGCCGACCAGCGAGCGCCCCGCGGGAATCTTTTGATCTGGCCCGGATCGCGCCCCCGCCCCCCCGGCCACGCGCGCAAAAGCGTTGAAGTGACTCCGACGTGAGGCGCAAAAGTCCGCTCGGCCGAATCCCTCAGCCCTCTGGACGTAGATGGTCTAGAACGGTTCCTCCAAACCCTCCTTCTTCCCTTTCGGGGGGGAGGGGCGCCCCCCCCCGCCCCCCCCCCTCAAGGATCCAAAGAGGGGGGGGTTCGCGAGGCCATGGAGCATCCCAAATGGCCCGAGACGGCTCTAGGAGGACCTTAGAGAACCTAAAATGTCAATGCTACCGCCCGCGCGCGCCCCACCACCCAATGCTGCGCTTCGTGGCCCAGAGGGGTGGGGCCCCGAAGGCCCCGGCGCGACCGCCCGCCTGGGCCCCCGCCACTCAGCGCAGCGCTCCGTGGACCCATGGGGAGCTCAACCGACGGCCTCAGCGCAACCGCCCGCGCGCGCTCCCCCCACCCAGCACAGCACTGCGTGGCCCCATAGGGAGCTCCACCGAAGACCCCGGCACTGCCGCCCGCATGTATCACCCTCACCTGGCACAGCCCACTGGGGCCTTCGGCGGAGCCCACTATGGGACCGGCGCTTGCCCCGCATGCCCTTGTCGGACCACTTTCAAGATTGATGGGCGCGGCCCGAACCTCGATGTCGGTTTAATTCGCGACGTCACCACATCACAGCAACGCAGAACTCGCAGCATTCCCATCAAGCCCGCGGCGAGCGTTGGACATCGAACAACAGGTCCGCAACACGGTGATATGATCCATGCGCAACAAGGGTTCGCCCGACGTGTTCCACCCAGCCCCCCTGCACAGCATCGCCCTCCAAAGATCTGCGCAGAAAGATTTGCCCCATGCAGCGCATCGAGGGTAACAATCAAGTTCGCTGTATCGGCGTCGCAAGCGCGAGCCTCAAGCAACTCGATGCATTTTACAACTCTGGCACCAGAACACCCTGACGCACTTTACCTCGCAGTGGCGCCAACGATCCTTGCACACTGTGCTGATCGAACTCACGAGGGAAGCGCCGAGCATCCCGCAGAGGGATCAGCTCCCAGTGGCCAAGGGCAGCGCCGAACAGCCAATGCTGCCCGTCTTCAAAGCAGACGCCCTCGGCTCCCGCATATCGTTCGATGGCGACGGGGCCGCCGCGCACGCCGAAGACGAACTAGAGCCCGTCGGGACCGCGAAAAACCTCTCGGCCCCGACGCCTCCGACGGCCCGCCGCTGCAGCCACGCCGTCGAAGCCGACGGCCGCGCCCTCCGCAGGGGCATCATCGCCGACGACATCGTCGTCCATTGCTGTGACGCGCAATGAGGAAACACAGTTGTGCGAAGCTCGTTTGGGCCAAAACAAATTTGGGCACGCATTGTTACGGGGGAGGAAAATTAGCCTGGCGACGGACCCAACCATATGCAGTTGTGAGTACCGCAGTTGTGAATATCGTCCTCGGTGGAGCTCCTTATGGGGCCACAAACTGTGTCAGGGGCCTGCCACAATGGTGGTGGTGGGGGAACCGCATGCGGGCACTCCCACTGGGGCCTTGGGTGGAGCTCCCTATGGGGCCACGAAGCGTTGCCCTGCGTGGGGGAACCGCATGCGGGCACCCCCACAGGGGCCTTCGGTGGAGCTCCCTATGGGGCCTCGAAGCGCTGCCCTGGGTGGGGGAACCGCATGCGGGCACCCCCGCTGGGGCCTTCGGTGGAGCTCCCTATGGGGCCACGAAGCGCTGCCCTGGGTGGGGGAACCGCATGCGGGCACACCCACTGGGGCCTTCGGTGGAGCTCCCTATGGGGCCACGAAGCAGCGCTGCGCTGGGTGGGGAAACCGCATGCGGGCGCCCCCACTGGGGCCTTCGGTGGAGCTCCTTATGGGGCCACGAAACGCTGCCCTAGGTGGGGGAACCGCATGCGGGCACCCCCACTGGGGACTTCGGTGGAGCTCCTTATGGGGCTACGAAGCGCTGCGCTGGGTGTGGGAACCGCATGCGGGCACCCCCACTGGGGCCTTGGGTGGAGCTCCCTATGAAACCACGAAACGCTGCCCTGGGTGGGGGAACCGCATGCGGGCACCCCCACAGGGGCCTTCGGTGGAGCTCCCTATGGGGCCACGAAGCGCTGCCCAGGGTGGGGGAAAAACATGCGGGCACCCCCACTGGGGCCTTCGGTGGAGCTCCCTATGGGGTCACGAAGCGCTGCCCTGGGTGGGGGAACCGCATGCGGGCACCACCACTCGCTGCACTGGAAGGGGGGGGGGGAGGAGGAGGGGGAGGAGGAAGAAAGGAAGGAAGGAAGGACGGAAGGAAGGAAGGAGACGCGGGGCGCTGTCTATTCAAAACGAGGACCCAACACCACAGGATGGTGAGGGAAAAGGGGGGGAGGGGGCGCACCCCGAACAGTGAATGAGACGCACGGGCGTTGTCCGGGGGGAATCGCTGATCCCTTCCCGTGGGTCCGTATCCAAAGAAACGCGAGAACCCCGACAATGAGTTTGGCATTTCACTTGAGACATCAGTACACCGTGCCACCCGTCATTTCGGAAAATGCCACAGCTTCACATATGGTTGGCTGCTACGCTTGCACATAAAAATCAATAGCTTGAAGCGTCCTGACACTGTCACGAACCACGCCAACCGAACCCTCTACGCGATGACTCGGCCACAAGACCTGCGAGCGCAAATGATAAACTCGTGCCAGCCAACCCCAATGGGACGTGGTCATGTGGCTTTTAAGCAGGGGCGTGCAAACCTGGCGTGACCGATTCGCGCGTAAGCGGGAACTCATTGTTTGATTTGATTGCGTGCTGCTTTCCCTTTTTTGTGGGGGGGGATGGGGGGGGTATTTCACGTCGCTTACCATCGGCGGTGAGCTTTTGTGCTTTTTCGCACTCGCGTTGTTCATCATTGTTTGGCTGCTGTTTGAGATGTGGCTTCGTGAGTTAAATATCTCGCCCTTGTTCTTAGCGCGCAGTGCAAAAATCCTAAGTTCAGGGATAATGTTCCTTTTTATGTGATACCCCCGCCGGTTAACATAACCCCATCCCATTGGCGGGAAAGTACCCTTACCCCTTGGAGAGGGCCTAGCCCGTCGGGCCGCCCCAGCCCTCGAGCTGCCAGAGGATTTGCCGCGGAGAAGAGGGGTGGATAGCCCACACAGGCGGGCACTGTACACGCATTCGGTGGCGATCATCATCGAAGGCAAGTGCGATTGGAACCCCTGGATACGTGTACAGCCTCCCCCGGGCGGACCGCCCCTGTTGCGTCCGCCAAGAGCAGGGGTTCCCACCTGGCCTCTGCCGCGGTGCGGCGGCTGGCTGAACTGGGGCCGGCCGGCAAGGGAGCTGGATCTGGCAGCGCCACGGCGCCGTCGGCGCCCGGTGTCCGCGCGGCCTCCCGCACCGACGGGGGCCCCCCCCCCCGCAGACACATCTGCTAAGTGCCTTCGCTCTATCGCCAGCGTGCGGAGGATGAGGAGGAAGAACAGGAGAAGGAAGAGGAGGAATATGAAGAGGAGGAGGACGACGAGGAGGAGGAGGCTCAGATTGACGCTACGCCACGCGGGCAAGCAAGCGCCAAGGGGTCACGACGCAGCACCAAGGCGCCACGAGAAAGATTCCCTCCCTGACAACTTCGGCCTCAAAGGGGCGTCGTTCGGGCCCCGGAGACGACCAGAAATATCCGGGACGGGACGCTGCGCCTGGGGGAAGAGGTCGGAACTTTGGGGCCCCGTGAGGAAAAACTGGACCGTCGGAAGTTTGAGAAAGATCCACTTCGATGGCAAGGATAGGCAGGGTGAAGAGAAGTCCTGCGGCAGAGGAGAAGGGAAAAGGAAAGAAACACGAAAGGAAGCGCAGCGGATGGAGTTCGGAATGTCAAGGTCTGGCGACATGACGGCAAACTGGCGATCCTGGCGCCATGCGCACCAACTTCGCAGTGCTGGATTATTGTGGCCGCGATGCCTCCCCGTCTGGCGAGAAAGCGCATAGATGGGACGACAATTACGCACACCAACACACAAATACATTTCTTGAGTTCCGCCGGCAATGTGGCGCCACAATCGAGATCAAAAGGCAACGACCAAATCATTGCCACTCTGCGTTGGGAACGGAAATCGACTTAAAACGCAAACGGAAGCAAGCCTTCAAAATCGAGTGCGAATGCGCAAGGCGACACAACACGAGCCTCACAAACATGCATACACATAAACGTACGCGCACAGAGATAACACACACACACACACCACACACACACCACCCCACGCCACACACACACACACACATACACACGAACATACACACAGCACCACAGATACAAACATCATGGCGTCACGGGCACGCGCGCAGCGACGCGGCGTAGGCAGTCGGAAAGCAAATCGTACGAACACGTATTTGCCTCCCTCCCCCACAGGCATGGTAACGGCACCATCGCGAGTGCAAGAACGAGCCACTCTCGAACATATCAATTTCCACCAGCGTTTCAGGTGGTGGACTGGCCAAATACGCACGCACACACTTGAAGTATCGGTTGGACACTGGTGGACGTCGAGGCCGCTGATACTGACAAAAATATGATCACCGCCTCGGTGCCTGTGTCTGCGGCGCCGGGGAGTTGCTTCGCCGAGGGTTGGACAGGAACCCAGCAGCGTGTCCTTGTCGAGACAATGAAATAGTTCCAGCCCGACTTCGTTGTGAATTTGCCTCGCGACAGAAGCGCCTTGCCATTGAGCCCACTGCTGGACAAACCCACCCCGTCGGACGCGGTGCCATAAACTTATCCAATGATGAGCCAACGCAAAAGTGGGCGCGGATCCGACTTGATGCAACAGCAGCCTGATGGCGGGTGCAGCTGAGAGGAATATACGGCAGGAGCGCAGTTCACACTCCCACGCAGAGGCGCCGAACCCAGGCATCACGAAGGCAGCAGAGGAGAGTGCGAGGCCAGCAGCAGCGAAGGAAAACTGCGGGCTGTGTCCCCAGTGTCGGAAACAGTGGACCAGAGAGAGGCGTGGGCGATCTACGCGTACGACGTTGAAGAAAGAATGGTGTGTGTCAAGATGTAAAGGGGCGATCCAAAAACTGAAACCGTCTCTCGAGTAGCGCATTGCTGCTTCGACGTGATGCGGATCTCACGACGAATATCAGAAATATGTGTTGGTCGCGTGCGAGTCGTGAAACGTGCGCAGGTCATGATCTTGCTAAAGAAGGGCAACAAGAGTCGGTGGAGCTTGAGTGAGAGTTGAAGAGCGGCGTTGAGATCGTGACGCCGTCTGATGACCAGACACAAGCCGCTCCACTCGCACCACCCCCTTCAGAGAGGCACCGATTAAGTACCCGAATCTCTGAGGGACTAATTTGTTGAATCAGCATGCCCCAAAGCCCCGGATTCACACAAATGTCTCTGGCTCCAGGTGTCCCAAAACTTCGCGCCGTGTTTGAGCATCTGGCGCTCTCTACGCAGGCCTCGTCAAAGATGCCTTTGAGGCCGCCTGGGCCCCCCTCAAAATATCTGACACACCTTGGGCCAAAGACACCTTTAGCGATCCCCGACTGCTTTCTCGACCCCATTCCTGGAGGCAACTTCTCGTCCCGGAACCGCTTCGTACTGCCCATGGGCCCGAAAGCTTCCCAATGTGTGCAGAAATCGACGGAAAAATACAGGATTCCAACCATCATCAATCCGACGGAGACCTGGGTGAAGCAGAAGTAGATAGAAAACAACGCCTCCTTTTGCGCCTCAGCTGCGCCCAGGCCAACGAGGAGCGACAGGGGAAGACCTGAGGAAGCTTGAGCCTGCCGACCCTCACGTTTTTATTGCACGTGCGTACTTAGCGCCGGCTAGCTTTCTCCACATCTTCCCACTCATCCCGTTCCTTTGCGCGCCAGCATGGTGGCCGAATTCTGTCCGATCGTACTCCGACCCTGACCCTGGGATCCGCCACCGTGCCCCCTGGCACGCTGAGTCGTGGTAGAATGCCAAGTGCTGTCTGGCTGGATGTCTATGACCTAATCTTCTCAGGGCCCCCTCCCCTCTCCCAGTAGACTGTTGCATGCATCGCCCCCCCTCCCGAGGCTCACTGGGCGGCAGACGCCGCCATGGTGCTCTCCAAAAGCGTGCTAGAAGCCCAAGATGGCTTCCAAGACGGCCAAGACAGGCCGCCATGGCCGCAAAGGTCGCCTCAGATGGCCCCACGATACTTGATATGGCCTCGAGACTGCCCAAAAGGCCTCCAAGACGGTTCAAGAGGGCCTCGAGAAACCCTAAGCAGCGTATGGTTTATGACGATGTCCGAAGTGTTATGTTCCGGCCTTCCAGCAGCTCAAGACGGACAAAGAGGCGTACTAGATGGCCCCAAGATGACCCAAGAGGCCCCCACGAGGGTCCGAACAAAGCCCAAAAAGACGCCATGATGGCCGAAACTGTCTGTAACACGGCTAGATAAACCCAATACGGCCTCAGAAATCTCGTCCGCAGCCCCAGACGGCCCCAAGACGACCTAGAGACGGCCCAAAGACAATTCCCACTCTGCAGAAAGAGCCCCGAGAAGGCCCAAGCGAGCCCCAAGACAATCCGAGAGGGCGCCAGGACAGCTCCACTGAAATGGGCTCCATGAGAACTCCGTACGCAACGAAAACGAGATGTGTGATGGTCGTCACCATCAGCATCATCATCATCATCATCATCATCATCATCATCATCATCATCACCACCACCACCACCATCACCATCATCATCATCATCATCATCATCATCATCAGCATCAACATCATGAACATCAGCATTAGCATCAACATCAAAATCCTCATCATCCTGATCGTCATCACCATCATCGGGAACATCAACATCAACATAATCACCATCAACATCATCGTCAACGTCGTTGTCGTCGTCGTCAACATCATCACCGTCCTCACCCGTGTCATAAACATCATCACCATCAACATGGTTATGACATTGATCATGATGATAATTGCAACCGTGATCATGGCCATGATCATTGTCATGGTGATTATCATCCTGGTCGTCCTCCTCCTCCTCGTCATCATCATCAGCAGCATCAACAACACCATCACCACCATCAGCATCATCACCACCAACAGCATCATCAATATAATGTTCATCATCATAACTACTCGTCCTCATCCCGATTATCATCATCCTCATCTTCATTACCGCCATCAGCATCATCATCACCAGCAGCATCATCATCACCATCACCATCACCACCGCCATCAGCATCACCATCATCATCAGCATCGTCATCATCGACCTCATCCTCATCCTCGTCGTCATCCTCATCCTCATCACCACCACCATCCTCAGCTTCACCTTCATTATCATCATCAACATCAGACTCATCATCCTCATCCTCAAATTCATCCTAATATGTATCATCATCCTCATCCTTATCCTAATCCTCATAATCCTCATCATCCGCATCCGCAACCTCATCCTCATCATCAAAATATCCTCATCACCATCATCAGTATCAGCATCACCATCATCATCATCATCACCATCACCATCATCATCATCATCATCATCATCATCATCATCATCATCATCATCATCATCATCATCATCATCATCATGGCTCTCCCACACATGGCAACACGAGGTGTCACACTTTACGGACTCCCGTACCACCTCGAACAGTCGCCACCCAGAATGCTGGGCAGGCATGTGGTGTGCCTTGATGCAGGCAGCTGGATAATTCACCGATGTATGGTTCGCTTTGAACACACACACAGGCCCCCGAAGCCCCGACTGCTGCCCTAGGGCCTGCATTTCTTCCCCAGTCGATATCTGACGGCCCGGGGGGGCGGCGAGGGCCCCAGGACACCGAAAACTGTGAAACAACTACTTAAACAACTGTTCACAACGTTGGAGACCTTGCTTTCGAGCCATAACTCATGCCTCGAGCGGCCGTTCGGCACGACTCAAGCACTCACGGGACGCTCTCGGCGAGACGCACACTGGAAAGCGTCCCGAGGCGAGAACACCTGAAACAACCAGTGCAAACGTACGATGACCAATGAAGACCTAGAGGGCTGGACCAGACCGGTAGACAGACCGCTTGCACCGAGGAGTGTCGCGGCCCCACAACCCGCCGAAGCCCTACATGCCGCCACGCAAGTCCCGGGCAGGCTGTGCTGCACAGCGGAAGGGGACGAGCAGGGGAGAAGCAGGCAGAAGACGACGAACGCCCAGGCGGGAGGCCAGGGCCAGCGAAGCGGGCGGGCAGGCAGGAGAGGGGCCAGGCGGAGACAGCAGGCAAGGAGCAAGGGGAAAGGAAACGGAGAGAAACAACGAGCAGAAGAGGAGGCAACAGGAGGACAAGGAGGAGGGGAGGGAAAACAACCGCAAGCGGACAAGCCTGGCCAGGGGCCCGGCAAGGAAAGACAGACCCTACGTAGTGACCTTGGCGGGGTGGCCCACCGAACCCAACGGGGATTGCTTTCAGCGGGATCCATCCACCGCCCCGCCAAGGAAGGGTCGGACGGAACGCGCCTAAACTGAACGGGGTCGCAACATCAAACCGGAATATGATCGGATCGCGTGGGGGCTCGGATCGGCATCGGTCCCGGCAGGCGGGAGAAGGACCCGGTCCACGTCGGATCGGACAGGACCAACACCGAAATCAATATACGGGGATCGGATCGGACCCAAGCAGACCGCGAGCAGCCCTGCTGGCCCCCCCCCGTTTTGGCTGCGCGTGGGCAGCCAGCGTCCCCCGGCACAGTGGGCGGCGGAGGGCGCGCGCCTCCAAAGCAGGCCACGGCCGCACCGCGCCCCTGGCGTCCTGCCGGAGGGGGAAAACGACTAGGGAGGAGGGTCGGGGGTCTCGGGGGTCGGGCGGCGGGGGGGTTTATCAGCGGCCGCGTCCCGTCGGTGTCCCGTCCCCGCCGCCTCCTCAACCTCTTCCTCCTCCTCCTCCTCCTCCTCCTCCTCCTCCTCCTCCTCCCCTGGCTGTTGACACTACTCTTCGATCACACGAAGCCTCGCTAAGAGGTCATCTGGCAGTATCGGAGACCACCGAATACAAGGTGCGCAGCACACGGCAGTCGACATGGTGCGTCGAAGTACCACGGACGAGGAGTGTCATCCCTTCGACCAGGTGAACGACGACGAGCTGTTCGAATTTTGAGCTTTGGAGGCGGGAGGAACCACGAGGCTGATGCAGGCGGTGTCTCTCCGACTGAAAACGGCAGCGCGCCACTCCTAGAAGCAGGTGCCCGCTCCAGGGAAAATCGAGGTGGCACCCACCGGGGCTACTTGTTGTGCGGCTATATCACGCAGTAGGTATCCCAAAGCCGCACGATTCCTGAATTCTTCGGGTTCCAGGTTCGCGTGCCAATTGAGACACATGTCAAGATCGATGCCTTCGTTGGCAGCGTGGAGCGCTGTCTGGAGAAAGACGGGTGTAAGGTTCCCGCCTGTCTCAGCATTCCTTTTTAGTCTTTTGCCTGGATATTCGTCATCCCTGCAGCATGTCCCGATGATGCCCCATAGTCAATGGGCTTCACAGAAGACATGGGCAATAAATGAGATTGCCGTTAAGCATGCAACCTATGCAACCTTGAAGGGAGGAAACCGGCCCGCCGGCCGATGCGCGCGGCCGCGCGCGGGCGCGTTCCTTCTCTGTCACACCCGAGCCAAACAGCTCCAGGTATTATCCATGTCAAGAAAAGAAGCGGTCAGTGCAAGCAAAGCAAGCGTGGGTGAGAAGCGCAGGAACCAGGTGGTGCGAAGGGGCGCATTGTCTCCCCCCGCCGCGGGATGCGTAGAGCCGCCCCGATCCCCACCCACCAGGCCTGTGCATATGCACAACCACCGGAGCGAACCCCAAAAGAAAAGTCTCACCGTTCGACGGTGGGTGCCCGGGGGCAGAAGGCCGGAGAAGCCCGACGTTTCCCGCCTGAGTTAAGATTCTCAGCTCAGGGCTCAGGTCTCAGTGCCCGCGCACACCTGGTACATCCGCTCCGCGACGTAGTACAATTCAGCTCCGACTGTGTCGCGCTGCATCTTCGTCTTCGCCTTCTCCAACGGTCTTTTGACTCCCAAGAGCCCTCCCATTGCCATTCTCTTCATGTGCTCCAGTCACTTGATGGGCTTCATTGGCATTGTTCATTCTTGCCCCGGCCCTTCTCCGACACACTCGTCTTCGGCGCAGGCAGAGGCGCGGGCGCTCGCAAATTTCTCGGCGATCCAAAAGATCGGCGAAACTTCTCATTGCACTCATCAAGCTTAAACCGTTGCCGCGTTGCGCCGTGGCCCGGAAATGCCCGATGTCGAGAAACATGTACATGATATCCTTGAATCTCTCCAGTTTCACTTATGTCTCCGTGCTCGGCGGTGGCGTCGTAGATGCTGTCCATGAGCGACCCGGCGCCGCGGCCATCGCGGGGAGATCCGCCGCCGGGCGCGACCGCCGGTGTGCGTGGTGTATTTCTTTCAATCCTGGGTTCGTCGGCCCAGGATCGGACTCTGCCCGGTTCGATCCATCTAGCCTCGCGACATGGCGCGGCTGCGCCGGCAGACGCAGACGGGGAGGGGGCAGTGCGATGAGATGTCCTCCCATATGAATTGATTCGATGGGAGAGGCGGCCGTGCCGTTGTCCGCCCTCGTCATACTAAGGAGATTGATGATTCCGATAGCGATGTCGGCATTGGAATCAGGCCAGTAGCGAGACGAATGTCGACACTTTGTGTTTGATCCGCCAACGTACTAACGCAGACAATAGTTTCATACATAGTGGAACAATTACCTCGTGCCGTCTTAAAAACCTCAGTTCCAAAGCCTTCGGGTCAGTTATCAAGCAAATTGAACGCTTCGGTTGCTGATCGGAATCGACAATCCAGAGCATAAGCATCCCCAAAGATTGATCAGATGTCGGAGTACGCTGAATTTCATATCCGGGAAAGGCAACATTAATTCCCGCATACATGAACAATTATATCACCTCGCGTGCACTTATGGGAATCCTTGCCCATGATCCGTGGACGGGGACACGGTTGAATGGCTGATCCCAAATTTGGTCTATAAGCTCTCCTGATCCTGGAGGCACGTCATGAATCACGTCTGAATCCGATTCCCTCGCGTTTGGATCAGTCGCTAGGTATTCAAAGACAAATTGCGCTGCGACTTCGATGGCCTCTGATCTATCACGCGTGTTGTTGTCGTCTTTGTAACCACCCATACAGTCAGACATTGAGATTCAATCATGTCAAAAAAACAAAACCCGATCTGCAATCCTCATCTTGTGACGCTGTGCAATGCATACGTTGGAAAAGCCGTTCGACGTTTCAGCTTCATCGCTGCGGCTTGGCCGGCGATGAAGATCAACCATTTGAAAATCCAGATCTTCAAGGGTGGTGACTGCGAGTGCTTGGTTCGCAGCTCTAAAGCTGTCAACTAATATCTGCAACGTTGGAATAACAACTCACCTCTCGTCCGTTCCTTTTTCCCACTGAACCCAGCCCACCTCTGATTGCATAAGACCTGCACTAACATGACCCCAATCGAACACAGCAAGCGCATAACATTTCATAGGGCGAGCATATAGGCCAAGATCGGGCGCCCAGATAGATGGCCGCAGTTGGGCAGCAGCGGGACGATCATTCTCCCCGTGTTTGTGCTTCAACCAAACAAGAAATCTAAGTTTTAAGGGGTCAAGATATTAGAAGAACGGTTCATGTCTCGCCGGCGGCTGTGCCGAGGCACTGCTGGGGCACCATGAAGGGGCGGCCCCTGGCATCGAAACAATCGGTGCCATCTTTTTACGAGCTAGATCATCTAGAGCCCACTTACGTTGATGCTGTTCCACCCCGGTCAGATTGTCTAAGGCATCGGCAGAGCTTTTCTTCACTGCTCTTTGCCTATGATTGATGATATTGGGCCGGTTCTCTCCCGCTGGGGGGTTCTCCAGACACGGGTGGAGGCCCAGTGGCGCCCGGGCAGCAGACAGCGCCTGTTCGGCCCGCTTCTGCAGATCATTTGCTCTGACATTCGTGACATTCAATTTGCAATTGACCACGACGTGGCAATGTAAGGAATATCCCAAACCTGCCCATGCAGCATGGCAGTTGGCACAAATGTATTTGCCGCCATCACTCAACGGTTTCTGCATTGCGCGGTCCTCTTTTTCATCTGAGAGAATGGATCGTCTGGGTTCAATTACGTCCTCATCCGAGAAAATCCACGTCCTGATTGTATCAGGCGAGAAGGTAACTTCCCATACAGACCACTCTTGGGAAAAGATCAAGGTCCACAGCACCTGCGCCTCTTGGCATATGTCTACCCGACGAATCGCTGACAACTGTGCGGCCCGAGAAATATCATTAAAACGTGCTTCACCTGTCGTTGCAAAAGTCCCATCGCGACAGATGCGATTGCGAAGGCGAGACAGTACTCTTCCGTTCAAAAACAATAATAGGTGACCAATCCTGATTGTGATTCGCCTCAATTTCCCATGAATGAGCAGAAAGGTACGCCCTGATGGGTGGATCGTCGCTGTCCATCCGCTGGCTGAGCCAGTGAAGAAAGTGCCGGGCATGCTCTGGAAGATATTCATGATTGGTTGGTCTCAATCTGAGAATGCCGTAATCTGGCGCCTTGCAGTCCTTTATGCTTACTCGGGTAATTGATGCTGCCATTTCCAAGAGTCGATTCCTCTATAGCCTCTATGGACGTAATGTGCAGCAAGTTTCCGTGACATCGCGCCATCCCAAACTCATAAGGAGCATGCGTGCGCTCAATGTGGTGAGCAGAACAAGAGTGCCCCTGGCATGCGCGAAAGGACAGTGGAATGGGCCTGGCAGCCCTTTCAGCTCTGTCAACATTAATGACTCGGTTCCCGTTTTCCTCATCGACGACGGCGTCGTGTGAGGCGTCGGGGTTCAGGAAAGAAATCAATTGATTACATATATATATATGTTGCTTCGATGATCGATATATCATCAGATCGGACACTGCGAACGTCGATCCCTCCTGATGGCAGCATTGTGCAAGCGTGCACGGCATCAGCAACAGTGGCATGTGATATGCCATGTGTCCTCATTTTCTGGATGAGATCACCCACATATACACATCCGCCCAACGATCGGGCGCGCTCAGCACAGTGTCTCGCCAGGCACATCAAGCTCTCACCTATGGACTCTGCTTGCGTGTGAGACAAATGACTACGCTTCCGCCAGAATTCTGAGCTTCCCAGCATGGCAGCACCGCGATTATTATTCAGGAATTCTGCCTCCGCTTCCTCGGCTGCACCGGCAGCGTCACTCGGCATTACTAATGGAATGAGTGCGTTATAGACCTCCTGTGGAAGAGAGTCTGGTCGGTCATCCGAATCAAACTCTGAGTTCAGAAACTTAAGCGCAGCCTCGAAATCTTCTGTTTCTATTTCACCGAGCATCGCAACTATAGTGCCTTGCACCGATCGCGCGTTGTCCTTGATCGTGTTATAAGAACGCCCACGAACAGCCGCAATGTGCGAGGGTGCCAGACCAGCTCTGTGGGCCCCAATAATCTGGTTTCGCACCTCGTGGCCCGTTCCCTCTCGATTGTTCGCTCGCTGCAGCGATGCGAGGTACAGAGGGTTTCCCCGTCAATATTCAATGTCGCATGGCCAACATTCCTAACCCGACCTGGAAGGTCTTGCTCCTCAGGGCGGAGCTGTTTATGGTCAGGCGTTGGCGGGGCACTCACGCGCAAGAATAAATACTCAAGCAGAACTTGCGTCCACATCTACACCATCTCCGCGCACCAAGAGATGCTGCTCCCCGGGAATGGAAACCATAGTC